AAGAATTGATCTTCCAGAATCTGGCAGTAAGTTTTAGGAGCTCATTTTTGTCAGTCTCTGCAAGACAGACTTTTCAGGGTAGGAGATGGACTAAAAATTAACTTTTCCCAAATCCCAAAACTCACTGCAACATGGAGCTAAGGAGAAAATGTAGAACTTGAAAAATTGGAAAAACAGCTTAGTGAAAAGCGATATTCTGGGGTGTGAATTTGATAGGTGCTTGATATAAAATAAATGGTGCTTTAAAAAGTCCTTGAAAGTCCTTGAATCTGGTGTTCATGAAAGAGTGGTAACCCTGTGTTCTGGTATGGAACAATCATGATTCACGACCCAGTCAGTTCCCAATAGTTTATTTCACTCTGAAAAACATCACATTATGGAAGTAAAATTGGTTTTGAGTGCCATTTCATGTTTACTTCAAAGATGTTCATTTCAAAGATTTTACCTGTCCATTGGAGAATCATTCTGGGGCTTTTTTCTGTCCTAACGTGTATAGGTTTGTGATTTTGTTCCTGCTACATATTTTCATGCCAAATTGTTTATGACAATTTTGACAAGCATTTGTCAAAATAAACCCATGTGACTGTCACTATTTTGAAGTGATAAATTTGTTGTTTGACAGCTAACAGAGTATACGCAAGGGTAAAATAATGTGTCTTGACAGTTTTCTGGCAGAGCATCAGTTTTAAAGTGCTGTGGAAGAAGTAATACTGAACATTCACTTTGTTTTAACTAGCAGGATTCATGGCTCAGTGGACTGTCTGTCAGAGCTGTCCTCGTCTCGGATGAACTATTCCTTCACAGGTGAGCCATTCCGTTGTCTGCTGTCTGATTCCCTCTCCTCTGTCAAAGCTTTTAAGTCTGAAGACAGTTTAGACATTCCTTTTTCATATAAAACTGTAGATTTTTAGATATTTGGTCACTTTTCAGTGGATGTTTGTGTTTGTTTTAATAAGGAATTCGACGCACTCTCAGCACTTCCACAGCCATCGCCACGAAGAGAGAACCGAGCCGCAAAAGTCAAGCAAGCAGGTGAGAGTTATGTTTGAGATGTGTCATAATTTTCTGATCTCATTTTCATCATTGGTTTTTGCGATAATTGGCAACACCAGCTGCAGGATAGTCAGGTCTTATTAGACCATAATCTAAAGAAGCCCATATCTCAAGTATTTTGAAATTCCACTTTCTGGTCAATTTTCAGGTAAAACAGAACTAAAAAGTTATTTTACCTGATAACTAACTAATATACAATAATGAACTAATTTAAAATAAACAGAAATGTATGCATTAATTAGCATTAATTAATGATGGCCAACATGATTTTATACTAAAACCATACATTTAGCCACAATCGAAATTGAAAATAATCTATAATCTAGTAATCTATCAGATTGATTTAACAACAATCAAATAAAAACATTTGTATATAAACATCTTTTTAGTGATACAAGTGTTTATGGAAGCCTGTTTCCACCACTAAATAAACATTTTAAAATGGTAATTGTGACTTTTTATTTCACAGTTCTGATTATTTCTCAGAATTGTGTGATATAAACTAACAATTGCGTGACAAAGACTTTTTTTTCTCAGAATTAAAAGATAAACCTGCAATTGTAAAAAGTCAAATTCTGAGGGAAAAAAGACGATTTTCTTAACATAGCAAGTTTATATATTACAATTCTGATTTTATAACTCACAATTAAGTCAGAATTGTGAGATATAAACTTTGCGACTTTATACCACGCCATTTTGAGAAAAAAAAAAAAAAAAGAGGCCAGAAATCTGAGAAAGTCACAATTACCTTTTTTATATTTATTCAGTGGCGGTAACAAGTTTCCATAGTTTTTATTTCAAATCGTTGCTGTCCTCGTCTCGGATGAACTATTCCTTCACAGGTGAGCCATTCCGTTGTCTGCTGTCTGATTCCCTCTCCTCTGTCAAAGCTTTTAAGTCTGAAGACAGTTTAGACATTCCTTTTTCATATAAAACTGTAGATTTTTAGATATTTGGTCACTTTTCAGTGGATGTTTGTGTTTGTTTTAATAAGGAATTCGACGCACTCTCAGCACTTCCACAGCCATCGCCACGAAGAGAGAACCGAGCCGCAAAAGTCAAGCAAGCAGGTGAGAGTTATGTTTGAGATGTGTCATAATTTTCTGATCTCATTTTCATCATTGGTTTTTGCGATAATTGGCAACACCAGCTGCAGGATAGTCAGGTCTTATTAGACCATAATCTAAAGAAGCCCATATCTCAAGTATTTTGAAATTCCACTTTCTGGTCAATTTTCAGGTAAAACAGAACTAAAAAGTTATTTTACCTGATAACTAACTAATATACAATAATGAACTAATTTAAAATAAACAGAAATGTATGCATTAATTAGCATTAATTAATGATGGCCAACATGATTTTATACTAAAACCATACATTTAGCCACAATCGAAATTGAAAATAATCTATAATCTAGTAATCTATCAGATTGATTTAACAACAATCAAATAAAAACATTTGTATATAAACATCTTTTTAGTGATACAAGTGTTTATGGAAGCCTGTTTCCACCACTAAATAAACATTTTAAAATGGTAATTGTGACTTTTTATTTCACAGTTCTGATTATTTCTCAGAATTGTGTGATATAAACTAACAATTGCGTGACAAAGACTTTTTTTTCTCAGAATTAAAAGATAAACCTGCAATTGTAAAAAGTCAAATTCTGAGGGAAAAAAGACGATTTTCTTAACATAGCAAGTTTATATATTACAATTCTGATTTTATAACTCACAATTAAGTCAGAATTGTGAGATATAAACTTTGCGACTTTATACCACGCCATTTTGAGAAAAAAAAAAAAAAAGAGGCCAGAAATCTGAGAAAGTCACAATTACCTTTTTTATATTTATTCAGTGGCGGTAACAAGTTTCCATAGTTTTTATTTCAAATCGTTGTTGAAATATATTTATTCAAACATATATTAAATAATGAATTTCAAGTAAAAATATGATAACAATGTAATATAGTGCTCATATTTATCTAAATGCTCCTCTCCAGAGTTAGTTTTCCTTGCTGACTAATGAGCTATAGATATTGATTGGCTTTCTTGAGAATATTTAAAGTTATGTGACATGTTGTTTACAAGCTGTTTTATTGACATCTTCCCGGCATTGAAACACCGAGCGATCACATGAGACATGATGCATTTCAGCAAGGTATACTGTTTCTTTCAACTAGGGGTGACCCCAAATAGTCGACGATTCGATGCTTCGATAGGAGGAGCCTGATTCGACTACTAATCTCACAGTCGAATATTCGCGGGGTGTTATGATCATGCCATTTTGGCTATATGGGGGTGCTGAATGTCTGATTTCACATAGAACTACTGGTTTTCTCCCAATAAGTTAATATACAGCCTATTAAGATAATGCTGTAAATAAGAATCTGAAAAAAAAAGTTTTAAATAAATATTTTAACGTGCATGAATAAATCCAACCACCCTTATAGATTTAAGTTTCACGTTTCATAATCTGTGACTGACAGAGGAGCATCTTGGTGGCAGGGATTTAAAACTTTAACAAGACTCAAATTGACACAGGCAGAGTGAATGACTGGATTTTTTCGACCAGGTAGGGTAAGTGATTTCAAAACATTTCATCCGGTTTATATCGCGTATATGTTATTTATCTCGTATAAGATGCATTTGGTTGAGTTACGCTGCAGTAAAGCACTTCATTGTACGGTGATTCGCTTTTCTGTGCGCAGCGCGAGCAGGACAAACAACAATGCAGAATATTATTAACTATGATTGGGACTGTCATATACTGTACATAACATAATGAAAACACTATTATAATAAAACGCTGTGGATTTTTAGAGTTCAGTTGCCGTGTTTCTGCACGTTGTTGCGTGAAGAACGCGTCCACAAAAGGAGTTCATTCAGAGCCACTATAAGTCGTAATATTAATGTCATGTTGTATAAATAACGAAGTGTATTCTATATGAGATAAATGATGAGTTATATCCCATTGATTAAAAACCTGCCATCAAATGCTTACTTCTACTGGTCATCTTCAGTGCGTGCAGCTCAAAACAGAAATGCAGAACATTAATAACTGTCATATAGGCTACATAACGTTATAATGAGAGCACTATTGTAAAAAAAATGTTGTGAATTCTTAGGGTTTCGCTGATGTTTAATGTTAACTATCTTTTAATCAAAACATAAAACATTATTTACCCCGTTTGTATCTGTGAGGCGTCTGTTACACATTTTCCCTGCGTGTTAACGTCAGTAATTATGACTGTCGAATGTCTGATTTGACTCTTGGTAATGTATTTTGCCCCCGCCCCAAACATATAATTCGACTCTCAGTCGACTATCAGCAAGATTCGAAACTTCCGATTCGACTATGAAAATCCTTAGTAGGT